AAAACAATAACGTTACCACTCTAATATGTCTTGCAATATCCGTGCGTGCAAAGGTTCTGCGCGATCCTCTTGTTCAATATTCTCTGGGTCTGAATCTGGCTCAAATTGATATGGCAATATTGACGCCATCCTTAACTAAACTTGCTGCTTTGGCAAGGGGCGGGGCAGTACTGAAACACAGTCTAAGCTGTTCGCCAATCACATCACATTTCGTTTTTCGGAAGGCGGGTGTTCATCAAACCCGGAACTAATCGAGCCGTTTGTGCCAGACTGGGGAGAAAGGTATTGTAATAATGTAAATTATGTAAAAAATAATGCATTTTTCGAACCACCAAGCATAAGAGCATGTTCTAGTACACCCCCAAAACAAATTCAAGACATTGTAAAAGAGCATAATAGGACCCCTTTAAAATTACTCTGTGATTGTAAAATTAAGATTTACATAGCACATGCAACTTTGTATTTAACCGCAACCTTTGCCAGATTACAGTATGATTATTTGTTCTCTCAAACATCAACCATATCTAACAACGGTTGTCTCTCTCTTCGAATGCAGACTTTAGGTTCAGGACAGGGCAGGCCTGACTCTCCTGTCTACATAAACCTGCAGGAGTTGAAGATCTTTCAGTCCTCCATCCCTCCACTGCCGTCCTCCTCTCCGTTCCACACCAATGGCGACTGGGAGACTCACAAAGACCAGAATGGCAGACACTTCTACTACAACTGCAGCACGCAGGAGAGGACCTGGAAACCCCCAAGGGCACGGGACAGCCTCACCAGGAAAGAGGAAAAACAAGACATGACTGACACTGAGGTACACACACAACAACCTCAAGATTAGACTCAACACAACAGACGGTGATGCTTGCACGCCCAAACACACACGCATGTATTATTACATTTATATATGGCTTACAAAGGGGAAGAACAACTTCATAAGGGACAAAATGTCCATTGTGGTCTTGAGAAATGCATGACTGGATAGCTCTTTGAATGAATGAATGAATGAATGATGCATTTATATAGCGCTTTCTTTCTCAACCTAAGCTGAATATTTATATGCATGAAAAGCATTCTGGGTAATTGATTTTCCCTGGTGGGTGAAGGGTTAATTGTGACTGACTGGTGATTTATTTCTCGTCTCTCTCTTTTCCTTGTCTGCCTCTCTGAATGAACTCTTTTACTTTGTTTCTCTCTATATCTCTTTCTACTTGTCTTGCTTTTGTGTGATTGGCTGGGGGAAGGTTCTGTCGTCGGAGGAAAACTGTCTGAGCAGCCAATCAGACAGCCAGTATGGTTCGCCCCCTAGAGGCTGGTCTGAGGAAATAGATGAGCATGGACACACTCTCTATGTGTCTGACTATACTAATGAGAAGGTACAAAGACAAACTCAGTGTGTTACTGCATGGTTGACAATTTTTGTCTTACTAAGCTTAAAAATGGAGAAACTACTTTTTCATCAACAACTGGCTTGTTTTTTTTTTTTGTTTTTTTTTCCCCCAAATGGCTACACTTGTTTTTCCTCATTTATATGGTTAACATACTGAATGACCTGTTATAACCATTGATTTGGTATATCGAAAGATGGTCACAGTGGTTGAAGAGTCAACTAGTCATGTAGCTTTTTTGTTGTTTTTAATTTGCGCTTCTTTATTTGGTGCTTGCAATAAGCTGTGAATAAATCGTTAGCCAGTTTAATTTTTTTAATTCATCCCCTTTAACTTACTGCCATTACAGGCCTCACACATGCTGTTTTTTTAACTCCTTGCCATGAGTGTTAAGTTTTTATGCATTAAGTTTTAAAAACACACATTCCTTTCTATTGGATTCTGTCTAATTGTTTTTGAACATGAAGCCGCCTTTTTACTGTCTCTGACAAACAGTTTCAGACAGATTGGAAGTCATTCATGCCCAATGGAGAGTAGTACATGAGATGCGTGGAATACGTGTATGTGAAATTTTCAAATCCAATTTAAGCTTCGGTATTTGAAATATCTGAACTTTTGCGGCTAGACTGTTTGCAACCACTCAACTGGATGTGTTGTATTCTAATCAAAATTATGCACGAAATGTGAGATTTGCAAATGTTTTTGCACTACAACATTAATCATGAATATTTATTCATACATTAATTTTTCCTTTCTTTTTACCATGGTGAGGGTAAACCAAACCAAAAGTGGAGGGTAATGGCAGCTTCTGTAACAATTTGAATGTTCTGGACGATTGTCAGTAGGAGGTGAAATGCGGCAATTGTACTTGAATGTTGGACATAGTGGAAGGGTGGCATTAGATACGCTCTTGTGTAAAAACTCATCCATATAAGGTTAGGTGAACCCGAAACCTGCCTTAAAGGGCTTTCTTGAGACTGATTAGTCGACTAGTTGTTCAGGCAACTAACCAACTAGTGCCTGTGTGTGTTTTTTATATGTATGTAGTGGTTGAGACACACAGACGAGCAAGGCCGGCTGTATTACTACAGCGCAGATGGCTCCAGATCTGAGTGGGAGCTTCCTAAAATTGGTCTCAAATCACAGGTGAGGCTAACAACAGATTCCAGTGCTTAACAGCATTTAAAAAAAATATCTAGTCAGGAAGTCCCGGAAATCCCTTTCAATTTGGTTTATTAAATGAGCAATATCACTCGAGTACGAGAGCGATACCGGCTCTATATCAGCATGGCTGTGATTAGGCCAGAGCAATCACAGCCGCTGATATAGAGCCGGTATCGCTAGAGTACGAGAGTGATATTGCGCTTATACAACAGTTCGACGGAACATGTGTGTAATTAAACAAGAAACAACGGAGTCGATTGACTCAGAGTGAATAATTAAAAAAAAAACATAGACCAGGCTAGAACAAGCGGAGTGATACAAAATTGTGAAAGGGCGTTCCTGTAGCGATACCAGTACAATATCTCACGGTTCTCAAACAATCAGATTTGAGAACCAGAACGAACTGTTGTATAAAACGTACTAATCCTGGTTTCAATGCCCTGTGCAGTGCTTAATTGAAAGTGTGTGTCTGTGTGTGCATGTACACGTTTTGAGTGTATTTCAATTTGTTTCTCTGACATACCTCATTACCAGTCTAAATAATCTTGCCTCTTTTTGTTCCACCTATTTTAGTCTAACCACTCACCTCTGCTACCAGGAGATGCTCACAAAACACGTAGTCTTGACCGGAGACTGCCTGATTTCATTCCTATGAGGCCGAGACACAGCGTATATTTACATGAGTCCAATGACAAGGTACACATGCATATACATACAAACTAAGAGAGAAAAAAGGGGCATCATACTATTGCACAGGAGACAATGACAACATGCGTAATAAAACTACCCAAATTCAATACAAATGGCAAGCTTAATGAAACCAATAATCAAGCACATTGTTTTAAGTTGTTTTTTTCTTCACTTAGTGGTTAAACTCTTATTTTTAAGTTTCTTATGAAGATTTATTTCACCAAGTACTTAAGATGTTAGCTGATAATATCAGTACTAGAAGTTCTACTACCAGCTTCTAACTTCTACTACAAGTTCTGCTGGCAATATCAGTATGAAATATACATGTTTTTACATTTATTTAATAATTTAAATACATTCAAAGGTTGATTATATAAACTATAATTCATAAGGTATTGTGTTAACATGAAACTGCTTAGGGGTGATTATATTTACAAGCCCTGTCAACCCTCTACGCACACCTTGGCAATATAATCGCCATTGGCTAGTACATTTTTTTGTACTAGACTGATATACTATTTTACACACACACACGTTTACTTAGCTATCTAAATGGGGACATTACATACTTATATTGTTTTTATATACAGATAGTTATACTCTTTTTAACCTAAACCCACCCCTACCCCTAACCCTACCCCTCACAGAAGTTTCTGCATTTTTACAATTTCAAAAGTAAAAAAAAGAATTGTTTACTTTATTTTTATAACAGTTTTACAAATGAGGACATCCACAAATTTAGGTTTTTGCCGATTTTGTCAGGTTTTGCTCACTTTTGGGTACAAATTATTCCCCAAAATATGGTTAAGTAGGTACACACACACACACACTCACACACATCCACCCAATCAGCTTATCTTTGTAAAATGGAACAGCTTCTTAAATAACTGAATGTGCACTCTTAACTTCAGCCAATCAAGCATTATATTATGATATTATGATAATTAAGCACTATTTAATGATAGAACTAGTGATTAGAACTAAAACTGGGTAACCATGAATGAATGCATATTTGTCATTTTAACACATTATTTAGTCGCCCAGAGTAAGATTTAGTCGCATATGCGAGTGATTTACTCGCAATGTAGAGGGTTGACTGTCAAATGCTGGTCTGGTTGAAATGAACACACTTTTGGTTTTTAGTGATGTAAATGACTCCCATCCTGATTTGGGTGATGATGTTTACATGTGCTTTATGTTTGACTGAAGTTAAAACAGAAATCCGTCAAGGACCGGCGAGCCTTACCCCCGCACCGCAAAAGCACCCTCCGCTTTTACCCTTATAGGCCACAAGTCAGTGTTGCCCCACCCCTATATCCCAACAACCAATCACCTCGTCTGAGATTATGCATGCACACTTTCACCCACTGCAACTCCTTTTAGTATATACAGTGATTTCTACACACATTTTTATACAATATATATTTGAACTGCATGAGAAATTGCACATGAATATATCATCCTTTAAAGGAATCATTCACCATTAAATTTCAGCTGTCATCATGTACACACACTTATGTTGCTCACAACCTTTAGGATATTTTTTTTTTGTCTTCAGTGGATGGTTTTGAGTGGCATAAAGTTGAGCTGATGACAGAATTTATATTTTTCAATAAACTCTAATGATTTGAGAAATGCTTTACACCTGTGTGATTAATCAAGTGCTTTGATTAAATGATCAGTAAGTCCTGTCTGGTTTTAGAATGGGTGAGTTTTACTTTAAGACAGAATATCTTGACTGACCCTGAAATAGAGATATGTAGTGTATATATATATATGCTGTCTGAATTACATATTGGTTGTTATTGAATTATTAGGTGCAATGACTGATGACTATTGACAACTGTGGATTAGTTTGCTGATTATTACAGGTGTTTATAAAATTGTACATAAGTTTGAATCATGTGGTTTGTTGTTTTCTTGTGTAGGACACCAAAACAGGCTCACCTGACTCTGACTCCTCCTGTCCCTCCTCTCCCAAACCCTCAAACGCTGTTAGTATCAGCATCATCCCTCTCTTCTCGTCCTTGTCCTCCTTTATGTTTGTCTTTGTTGCCCTGCTCTGTCTTTACTCCTGTCTTAATGCTGAGCTCTGACTCTTCTGTGTGCTTGTGATGTGGGTTTATAATAAATCAATAAGCCATGAGTACTCTGGCATTAAGGGTTTAAGGGTGTTAGATAGGCTCAATGTGAAGTGGAGTGCTTTAATGGTTATGGATGGTTAATCACTGGACAACCTCTCATGGATCAATGCCTTTAGAAAGCCACACCAATATGACAAGACTGTGATGTTTAATAAGTGCTTACATACTTTAGCAATGATATTAAAAATAGTCAGTTTGGTGCATTGATAGAGAAGTAAATCGTTGTGTGATCACAGGTGTGTGTACATTTGCATTCCATTGTGCTTTAAATGCAGCTCACCCAGTCAGATTTTAGAACTGTCCATTTTATAAGCATTTACTGGTTGTGTCTGTTGAGCTGCTTCTATACTAAATACTAAAGAACTGACTGTAACATAGTTCAGTACAACATACTGCCTAAATCATCACTGTTCTTGTGTAATTTCTCTCTTATGGTAGCCTCTGTTGCGACTGGACAAAGTTAGGTTTCTTCTCACTCTGTTCTGGGTTAATTCTGTGGCTGCATGCTGTTCATCGCTCTGACTGTTTTTTTTTTTTTAGGTTTAGTTTTGTCCTCTTTCTCTCTTCTCAAATCTTTTTCTCTATTCTAGTCGTCAGAGAAATGTGGCAATTTAAACATGACTAAAATCACTGAACATGGAAAAAAGGTCCGGTAAGTAAAAATAATGCTCTCATTCATTTGACAGAGCAAACAAATGCTTATAACTATGCCATGCTGATATTGTAATTGTTTGTTTGCCTTTTGTCACGCCCACAGGAAGAACTGGACCTCCTATTGGACCGTTTTGCAGGGTTCTTCACTACTATTTAATAAGGGTCAAGGGGGTGGGACTGGTTGGGTGAGTGACAGTTCAGTGATGAGAGAAAATCATCAGTAGCCCACGTGATGTACTCCGTTTAAATGTCTTGTGTGTATGTTCATGTGTTGCTTTCTCAACAGTTTGGAAGAGAACAGAAGCTGGAGTTCAGTGTGGAACTCAAAGGAGGTTCAGTGGACTGGGCATCTAAAGACAAATCGAGCAAGAAACATGTTCTAGAGGTAAAGAGCTGGGTGGAAACTGGTAAACAGCAGTTGTTATTTATCTAATTTGACTCTCTATGTTTGCTTTGGTTAAAAGAGATATGAATGTTGAACTGTTATTAAGGTCATGCAGTGGATTATCCTGTCCTTTTTGCACAGAGCTTGGCTGAAGCTGTGGTGAACAGCTTGATGTCTAAACATGGCTAATTGTGTGACAAATACTGCTGTTTGATTTGTTGTGTTCATGTGTCTAAGCTGAAGACCCGGCAGGGCATGGAGCTCCTCTTGCAGTCAGATAACGACAGCCTCATCAGTGAGTGGCACAAGGCTTTGACTGAAGCCATACACACATATGTAAGATCAGTCTTCTATATGCCTTTACTTACATTTCTTCGGCACTTTAATTATTCTGAATTATTTTATTGACCTTGATGTGTGTTTCATGTTGCAGGCATGGGAGTCTGATGAGGCCATTGAAGAAGACATGCCAGAATCTCTGACACTAGTGTTTAGAGGGAGATGTTTTGCACACATGTAACTGTTGTGTTTCTGTGTAGAAATGCCTGATTATAAGCAGAAAGTTCAGGCAGTTAAGGATTTGATGAAGCAACTGCCACGGCCTAACCACGACACCATACAGGCGCTCTTCAAACACCTGAAGAAGTGAGTATAAAAGGAGAACGAGAGAAACGATGATTGAAAATTAAAAAATTGCTTTTTTTTTTTACTCTAGAAGGCACATAAACAATGGAAATGATTAGGTAGTTGTTTTAGAAAAATGCTGAAATAGTTTTAAAGGAAGTGTATGTCAAGTTAATTGCCCTTGTGTGTTTACAAGCACTCTTTCTCTCTGTAGAGTGATCCAGCATGTCGACGAGAATAGGATGACCACGCAGAGTGTAGCCATCGTGTTCGGCCCGACGCTCCTACGCCCAGAGGTGGAGACGGCAAATATGGCCATACACATGGTCTACCAGAATCAGATCGTTGAGCTCATTCTTATGGAATATGAGAAGATATTTGGCAGGTAGGTCACACGCACAGGGACACTTTGACCAAACCCAGCGGGACAGTTACTGCTGAAGACTGAACAACCCATTGACTGCCAGTCTGAACACTGTTTTGATATGTTTACATGAGAGGAACACCTGCATTAAAAACAAAAAACACCACTCTGGCTTCAAGATAAACAGTCAAATCCTTTCTCATATCTTTATTGGACTAAATAATTGTTATTTTTTTGACTGGATGTCATATTTTTATATATACCTAAATCCATTGGACTGTCATTTTTGGACCATTTGGAGCAACGAGGGCTTGAAATATGAACGTTTTCTGTCCGACTGAAAACCGTGGGAGAAATCTGATGCTTCATTTTAGATTTCCGTTCACTACAAGTACTACGTTTTGCATCACATCTTTCTGTGGTAATACTGTAATATGGTTTGGAACAACACATCAACTGATGGACTGATATGATAGACTTGGATTTTATTCTATACTAAAAACTCATTTTTACGGGAATGGATTGCATTCTGTTCTGGGCTCCCGGAAGTGACCCCTGAGATGACCACTGCTGGGAAACACTGGAATTATTGTCTAGACTCTCAAGATTCGGACACACAATCTTTTGTTTGAGTCTCGGCCACGATTTCCTGATTATTGATCCAACATCAAAGGATGTACAAACTCTTGAGCTATGAAAATATGTCAGTTATATTTCAGGCTGTATGAGTGCATCGGTCCCCTTCGGTCCTTAGAGAGACACTGAAAGGAAATGTGTCCATGACACATTTAACCCTTTGAGGACATTAGACTCGCTACTGTTCCTGACCAGACCCCAGCCATGCATTGAAAACTCTCACAGCCTAAAGACAAAATAACGTGAAGATCTTGTATTAGAGAAAGAGGAGAAATTCTGAGTGGGTAAAACTTGATTGCTCTTTCTAAAGATGTCTGATGGACATACTATGTGTGTATGTGTGTGACGAGTAAAAAGCACATGGAGGTTAAGACACCACAATTGTATTAATAAAGAGACAGGTTTATTAAAATATTTTAATAATTCAGATATGGTTATTTGGTAAATGGCTGTTGAATGTAATTCGTTAAATGTTCTGCTGTATGTTGCAGAGCTTTGTCTTGATCAAAATAAAATTGACAAGGCAAATCGGTCACCTTATTGAGTGTTGTTACTCCCCTCCACCAAGAGGCAGCAAACATCACAACAACACTGGTTTTGTTTTTCATGTGTTGCCTTTAAAGTTCTCACATATAATTTAAGTACTGGTATGCAAAGCTACTCTTTTGTCTTTTATATTATATGGATTTAATCAAAGCACAGCATCTTTATAAAGGAAAGTTCAGACTTGTACGCTTTTACTGTAAATGCCGTTTTTTTTTTTTTTTTTTTCAGGGACTTATCTAAATTATTGGACCTGGAACATTCCTTTAATGCTGTTGATTACTGTCACACTGTAAATACAGTGTGACAGTTTATATTTTTATAGATGAAGATGCAGACTGACCCCACGAGGAAAAAAATTAGAATTAGTCTGACGCCTTTTTGTTCACTGATTTCTTGTTCTAATACTCCCTTATTTCACTCTAAAGTGGAAATTGCAAACTATTTCCTCTCCATTCCAATGGATACATTTTCTTTATTTCAAACAAAAATATTAACTTTTGAAGAATTTGTCCTAATTTATTGTTTTGCTGAATTTTTAGATACAAAACCACACAAGCGGTGGATGCTGTCACTTAACAGTGCTGAAAATGTACTCTGTCTGCTAAGGTTTAAGTTTTAGAAGCTTTAATTTTTTTTAAGTTTGAAATGAAATGCTAAACATATTTCTGGACACCCACTGTTGTGTGGAAATTACTAAATATTAGCACGCTTTCAATAAATTTGTTTGATAATGAATAAGCAATTTAGAAATGACCTGGTGCTTCATTTCATTTTATTTCATGGGGCATCATAAAAGGAAACAAGAAAAATCCTACAAATAGGTTCATCACTTTGTGGAAAATGTGACATTTACACACACAATGCAGAGTTGGCACAAATAAAAACAGAGACAAAATGGCTTGACTAATTTTGGTTCCAAAATGGCAAATTCAACACCATTACAACAACATGAATCCATGCTCTTCATCACAGGTTTATTAATTACTGTGAAGCTGTTGGAAAAGCTTCAGATTTAAGAAAACCAAAGCAATGGGTGCAAATGTCTGCCTGATTGACTTTCTGTGATGGAGTTAAAAAATAACTTGAAATTATAAAACGAATACTGTTAACATTATATACTGTATATCAGGGTTTAACCTCCTTCGTGGCACTGAGATTAATTCTAAAATACATTGTGTTAAACTACAGTGTTGTGTATTACACACGCAATAAATAAAGCAATACAAAAATAAGACATATATAAAAGGTTCTACAAATGAAACATTTGTCAGTGACAATAATACTGATGGTATTACACAATATACACATGCATAAACACAAAAAGAATAAACATTTCGAAATACACTGAAATTAATAATACTGCAAGGTCTGCTCAGACACAATCAACTTAAAACATTTTTAATCCTATGCGCCTCTTCCAAAGTGCTGCTTTCAACGTGCACTTCAGTCATATTACATACGGTCCGTATTTGCCTTCTGCATGACTTCGAGATGCTAGATTTAGTTTCATCTATAGGGCCGTGCACGTTGGAAATCTTCATAACAGAGAGAACACTTGCTGATGAATATGAGTTGGAGGTCTTGTGCTCTCCTATACAATCTACACAATCCTGTGGTTCATACATTTCAAGTACATTTTTTTCATCATCATTCATCAAATAATCCTTAACCTGCTTCTAATTGGTTTGTATTCATCACTTGGTTCGGCTATTTGTTTTAGGTTATTATGATTCCAAACAGAATAATAAAAGAAGAGTGAAGCATAAAAAGCTTGGATTTCTGAATGAAAATGGCTGAATTTAAATCTTCTTATAAATGGCATGCCCATACTCACCTAATTTAAATAAATCTTTTAAATTTGATTTGGTCTAGTTTGATAGGGCTACTTATGTTGTATTATCTTTTTCTTTTAGTAAAGTTAAATGGGCAATTCTTCACAAAAGTGAGGGCAGTGTTGGAAACTTAAATATTTTTGTAAATTTGTCAAATCTGTTGGGCTGTGTCCTTGACCAGTGTGGACATTTTTATGTATCTTTAAATTATTGGTCAGCTGACTAAAATCTAGATTGTCCAGTGTGACTTAATGTTTGTGAATGGCACTTACAGCTTGGCGGTCTTGCATAAGGCTGTGGGTTTGCAGTTCCTTAGAGCATCTCCTATGAACACAGACTGACACATTACAACATGAAGCCACGCAAAGATGAATGAAAGAACAGGTGAAACTGCCTTCTGAGGTTGACACTTTTTTCCTGACTTTTTTTTGTATGGTGTCATGATCGTGAAAAGTATGTTTTCAAAACATTACAGTTACCGACAAATATTTTGGAGTGCTTATTACAAAATGTATTTTCTTAGTAGAATTCGAGTCCGATTTGAATTATTATTCAGTTGAGTAGTTCATTACAAGTGACCAGTTTAAATTCTATCAAAGCGATTCAGTTTTTAAATGATAATAAGCATTCCTATGAATATTTCCATAATTAATGATTCGTATGAACTTTTTTTAAAATGAGCTCTTAATAGTGAAGTGCAATTTAATTTCCTTCATATAAGGCAGATAAACAATCAGATGGGAAAATGAGGCAATGCTAAAAACAGCTTGCCTGATTAACAAGACAAAATACTGAATGGTATCTTAAATTTGAGGCATCAAGTATCTGTGGTTAATCTCACAAAGAAATGTACAGGTCATATTTCACCCTAAAAAATCAAGTTGAAAAAAATAATATTTTGCATTAAGAAAATAGTCTACTTTAAAGATTAAGCATAAAATACTGTAATACAGTAATGAAAACCATTCTGTCTGGACACAATTTAAATTTTTTTTTTAAATAAGCATGAATGAAACTTTATGGCATAAATTAAAATCAATGTGTATTTGCAATTGTTCTTAATTGTTTCAGATGATTAAAATGTGTTCATTAAAAAATGTCTGTGATGGTCCTAAAAATAGGCTTCATTGTCTTCATGCAAAATATATATATATTTTTTTTTTCAAGTGAAATATGACCCTTCTTGACAGTTTTCATGAGAATCACCCCCGTAAGTAAACCAGTTATACCTGCAGTGCAGAATTTAGTTTTGTTTCTCAAAACTTTAAAATACTGATTTTCGTAAACTTCATTGGCAAATATAAAGGTATAGAAATCTGACTGTACAGAGCAACAAAAACACGTGAACACTGATAAATCGACATACCAGGGCGGCTCAGTAACGGAACAAAGCCAAACAACTAAAACTTTGAAGTCCTACGAAGTCTAGTTGAGTTGGAGTTTCGTTTTCTGCTTTTTTTTTTTTTTTTTAAACAAGGAAATATTGTTTTGTAAATCAGGCACACCTGGGTTTTATACACAGTAAAGAGCTGAGACACAGTTTCCATAGCAACCGACGACTGTAAGATTATGATGAAGAGCTCGTCACCTCTTTCATTAGTCCCACGTGAGTGACAGAAAAAAGAGCGTTCATCCTTCAGTCCTCGGTTGCCATCTCTGTGTTTTCTTCATTATTTGTGAGAACTGTGTCCTCTTCCTTTGACTCCTCTGTCTCCATAGCATCTTCCGTTTCAACGGTTTCTTCCTCCAAAGTGTCAGTATCTCCGAGCTCCACCTCCATCACCATTCCTCCTTCTTCTGTTTCTTGCTCCTCACGTCCTCGGCCCTGCTCTTCCTCTCCACAGCTCTCCTCATCATCCTCGTATTCCTCTCCCACTCGCACCACTCTGATATCGCTCATGTCCAGAGCAGTCAAATCCTCTTCCTCCTCGCCGTCGCTCTCTCTCTCGTCCGAGTCGAGCTGAGAGGGAGGAGTGGAAGTGCTGACCTGCTCTGGCAGCTCATGAGTGTCTCTCTTGCAGTAGGAGTATCGGTGGTTCATGTGCTGAGAATAAGAGCCTGAGTGAGAGAAGCGCTTCCCGCACTTGTCACACTGGTAGGGCTTCTCTCCGGAGTGTAGTCGTGTGTGCTCGATCAGGTGGTGCTTGTGTTTGAAAGCTTTATTACAGATGGCGCACTCGTGAGGCCGCTTACCTGGAATGATGAAGCAATACGATGAGGTTAGGACAAAGGAAGCACATATTAACAGGTACAATGGCTGGCAAAATTTTTCGGGCACTTTCAAAATGTATGAATGCCACTGCATTAGATCAGGGGTTTCAAACTGTATAATATGCGATGTAAAATAATAATAAATAATATAATACTATTTTAATACAACTTCATTGTAAAATAAATGTAAATTAAAAGGAATAAGTATATTTTACTCTAGAGTTGGAAAATAATTATTTTGTCTTAATTTCTCACTTGCAAGAGTTAAAATCATCATGCTGTTATATTAGCAGAAAACTAATTCACAAATGTATTTATAGCATTTCACTAGATTTGTAATTAATCATCAAATCATCCACAATTATATGAATCTGAAAATAATGCACAATGAGTTCCCAAATGCATGTTTATTATGCATACATTATTATATCTATGTATATATATAATTGTTAATTTCCCCAGATCATCATATTGTACATTCAAAAGATTGTTAAAAAAATGTCTTTATGAAATTAAGAAAATTCTATGTTTTACATATTCACAGACTCCTGGTTGAAAACGATGGTATTAAAGAAATATCTAACCTAGTTGCATCTGCAAACAAATGTTATTTGTAACCAGGAGGTGGCGCTATTGCACCATGTGTTTCGTGTTTTTCTTTCTGCCTTTCTTAATTGCAAACAGGTGTTGCTTGATACTAGTCTTACAACCAGAACAGGATAAAAGCTTCCAGACTCTCTCTTCTCCTAACTCAGATGCTACATAAATGTTTAAAATGTTTTACTGAGATTCCCTAAAAAATGTTGATTATGGAAGAGCTTTGTAGGGAGCTGGTTGATTGTTTTGTTTGAACAGAGAGGGAGGCAAGGTTTTGTCTTTGTCTTTTTTTTTTTCCTTAGTGAAGAGCTAATTGTTAGTGAGTTTGGTTTTGTTATCAGTTTTCATCATTTCTTATTTATTTTTTACACTTTGCTATTTGAGGACATGTCCCTCTCCTTTTCTATTTATTGTTTTTTAATCCTTATTTTATTGTTTATAATGTTTATTTTTTCATGTTTATTTTTTAATTTGAACGTCTCTCTCCTGATGATTTAAATCACTGCCCAGGTATATCTTAAACTTTATTTTTCTTTATTATTATTGTTATAATTACATCATATATACTTTTTTTAACATCAGCATTGGCTTTGCAAGCACCAACAGTTGAGGTACATTAAAGGGTTAGTTCACCCAAAAATGAATATTCTGTCATTAATTACTCCCCCTCGCAATTTAAGATATTTTTGATGAAATCTGAGGGCTCTCTGACCCTCCCATAGACAGCAAGGTAACTACCACCATGCGTGTGGCGGTGCCGGCGCTGACCCAGATCCGGCGTGATGACATCATTACGCCAGATCTGGGTCAGCGCCGCCACACGCTTGCGTCATGATACTGTCGTGAACGCGCGTGACACACCAAAGTGACACAGTAGAGACGAAAATGCGGAATAAAGTTATTTTTGTTTTCTTTGTGCAAAAAAGTATTCTCGTAGCTTCGTAACTTTACAGTTGAACCACTGATGTCACACGGACTACTTTGTCGATCATCTTGGTAGAGGGAGGGTCAGAGAGCCCTCAGATTTCATCAAAAATATCTTAATTTGTGTTCCGAAGATGAACGAAGGTCTTACGGGTTTGGAACAACACGAGGGTGAGTAATTAATGACAGAATTTTCATTTTTGGGTGAACTAACCCTTTAAAGTACTGGTCTATTTTGGTTTTTAATATTATCTAAACATGAACACATTTTTAAGTGTCTAATTACTGTAAATCATGTGTCATTCATGAGCGGTTTTCCATACCTGTGTGTTCATACTTGTGTCGCAGCAGTGAGCTACTCTTCTGGAAGATTTTGTCACACAGATCGCAGGCGTACAGGCCACTGACAGTCTTCCTCTTCTTCTTCATTAGAGGTGAGTCTTCATCGTTCTGGCCTTCTGACACGCAGTCAGAAGCGGTGTCTGCCACTTTCTGATGGAGAGTAAGATGGAACGAATGAGTCTGGAATGATGTCATGAAGAAAGGTATGTCCAGATCTTAATGTTTGTATGTATTTGTTGTGCTTACCGGACAGCTGTTGAGTATCACCGTCCCCTTTGTGTCTGTCAAGGAGTTGTCAGGTGTTTTGACGCTGGGGTTGGTGGTGTAGGTGTAGGTGAGCTGAGGGATGAGGATGGTTCGTTTGTTACCGGATATTGCCGTGCCGATGCACGGAACACCTCCTGCCTCTGCTATGGCAACTAGCGTTGGCAATGGCGCTGTCACAATGTTTAATGGACCCGTGCCCGCCTGAGTCACATAGATGGTGTTGCCTGGCAACGGTTGCTTCTTGAGGCAGGTGAGGTTGAGCGGTTCTTTTTGGGTGGAGACCAGCAGCTTAGTTGTGGTGCTGGCTTGAGTGGGGCTGGACTTTGGGAGCGAGAGATCCAGTGGTTCACACTGCAGCTCCTCCTCCACGTCTTCTGTCTTTACAATGACGAGATCATCGGTGGAGACGCTGGCTGGAGGGGAGGCGGGTGAAGCGGCGCTTCCATTTTGGGTGTCCGCTGAGGTGCCATCAAGGGGTTGAGTGGGAGTGCAGGTGGCTTGAGTGGAGTTCATTCCTTCAGGTACAGCAGATAGTGTAGTTTTCTTTGTCAAAGAAGAAAGACATTATTAATATGTTTAGGAAAAACTCATTCATTTTCAAAGGCATCATTAATGACAACCTTATGTCTTAGGCCTGACAAGATTATTACATAATTGCTTGATTATGATCATTTCATTTAATAATCTGTGATTTAAGGTGCACTTTACAAAAACAATATTT